CCCTGTTGCACAAAGCTTTTGAATTACAATATTATACTAAGATAGCATAGACTTCATGAGAGTGAAGAGTTTTATTTGAAGAGAGATGATAACTCCTACAAAATTATATTATTGAAGCAGATTTCTGAAGTTGTGTATATGTTGAGTTACTAATTTTTTAAGTTTCATCTTTTGTGTGATAAATTCTTTTTATAGATAGACTTAAGTAATTATGTCACTGACAAAGTATATATTTTCAAAAACCAAACATGCTTCATTGGCTATCTTAGATACTCCAACATGAAGAAAAAAAAGATTTTCTATACAACCTCAAATTGCTACTAAAGCAATATGATCCTTCTTTTTTTAGGTAAAAATTTCAGTTTGATTGGTTAATGGTGAAGTTGATGTTGCATTCACTTCTTGAATTGGTGTTGGTTGTATTTCTTTTCTTAAAACTACATCCCACAAGTTTTTCACTTCAAACTTCATTAGAATTTTTTTCTTCCAAATAAAGTATCCTAAGCCATCAAACTTAGGCCATTTTTCCGTGGTAAGGCTACTTAAAGCCAAGTTTCTTTGAAAACAAAAGGAAGATTTATTGGTGCACCAACTTTCTATGTAAAATGTCTTTTACACATGCTCTATTTTTTATTTATGTTTTTAGTATTTTTTTATGTTTTTATTATAAAACGTTTTCAAAATGCTGCTCTCATATCATATTAGAAGTAAGTGAATTGAAAAATTTGGTAGATAAAAATAAAAAATATTATTATTGTTTAAATTGCATGTATATAAGTTTTATCCTATCAAAGAAAGAGCAACTAATTAGATCATGCCCCTTGTATAGGATACAATATTTGAATCAATATATTTTTTATGTTTGATTACTTGTGTGATTATTTCTAACATGGTAGAGATCTCTTGCACGCTATGTGATTGAAAGTCAAGTTGATTACTCTCAATTATGCATTTATCTTCAAGCTTCATATATTTGGAAACATAAGTTGTTAGAAAGTATTTTGTGAGAGTCACTTGTTCCTATTTGAAATATTTTATAAACTAAATTCTTTGAATTGCATCAATGGAGTCTTTTATAGGATTGAATTTTATATGTTGATGATTGACAAAGCATCCCTATCAGAAGGCTTTGAAAGCTACAAGATGGTATCTTAATGCTCTCAATTATTGATAAAGGCATGTGTAGGTGCTTCAATTATGGCTTATGCCTCAATATTTTCTTTGTAAAGAAGCTTGGCTGATTTGGTGACTTGTTTGAATATAGAAGCAAAGCCTTTTCATAGTTTCATGAGAGTCATTAAAATTTTATAAGGCCAAATAGGTCCATTTTAATATTCTATTTAATATTAGATAATTTAACATTTAATTTAAGCAATTATAATTTCAACATTTGAATCAAATAAGCATTATTACAAGTTTCAAAAAATTATTTGCATTTGGAAATTATTGAAATCAAAGAAGTTATTAAGAACCTGTTCATACTATAAAAACATACCAATCTAGTTATGGCTTAGCCATGGCCTTTCTTGAGACACCTTCCAATTTTGAGGTAGAGAGGATATCTTTGCAAAATATTGTCCTTAGATTTATTTCCATGTATGTGAAGTACCTTATTCCTAGAAGTATCATCGATGGTTTATTCAAGACTGCTATAGCCTCTTTAGAGCATATAAAGATTCTCTTTTAGATTAGGTTTTTTTTTGTTTAGAATAAGAAGTTTAATTTCATGAGTACTGGGATCTATTCAATTAAGGTTTCGAATAAATTATATGCTAATTAATGTTGTTACCATGTTTGAAGTTTCATGATCAAAGAATTGTAAAATGTTTGAAAATCTCTGATCAAGTTTTAGGCTTTATAAATCAAGCATAGATACTTTCAATCCATGGAAGTATTTTGATCTCTTTCTTACATTAAAAAAATAGAAGGCATACACAATTTATACAAGTTCATATCTTATCTATGCTTTTACTTTCCTCTTGTCAATTGAAATTAGAATTTATCCATAATTTGTTGCTTATTCTTAGATCTTAAGTTCTATTTATGTAGTAGGCGAATGATAGTTGGTCTTATATTATAGATTGATAATAAGGCTAGTTTTTAACTCTTCACTATTTGTTATTAACAAGAGATATGGTACCAATTTTTAAAAAAATATTCCTTATGTCGCACTTCACTTTGCCACATATTAGCAATACTACCATTGGATTATAGAAGGATATCCCATTGTACAAATTGGACCAATAATTGATCTTATTGTTAGTTCTTTGGCTAGTAAAACTATTATTATGTTCTCTTATCCATTGAATCTTACTTACATCCTCTTTATATATCAACTAAGATTAGAATAAAAGAATATCAAGTTCCAAGTGTGTGCTTCTTTAATTAGTTTCTTCTTCAATTACACTTGAAGAGTATGTATACCAAGCCATTGCATATGTTGTTGTCACCTTCATTCAAATAATTGAATATTGAATAGATTTTGAAAATATTTATTATATGAAGTTTTATCTGACTCTACCACATCATATCCTTACTATTTTGGATGGTTATAAACTTCACCATATGGAATAATATACTTTATAATAATACCATATATTTTATATGATAATAAGTGCTTTACTATGTATGTTAGTTGTTTGAGAGACATCTTGTCTTTTAGATATGTTCTTTCTATACCATACAAAGACATTGAAGATGTATGTTCTAGAGTCTTCCAAGAGGGTGGAAATTGAGGCTTGTATTAGAGAGTTTTATAAGTGTGACTAAACACAAACTTAGTTCTCATTTTTATTAATCTAACTATACTTATGGTAATTTTAGCATGACTTTCTTTTGCTATGTTTATATCCTTTGTAGTTAATTGTCTCTTTTCAACAATTTGTGGTGGATAAAAAATCTACATTTTTGCATACTAAGAAATTTTGGATATATATAGTTGTGACTTTTGGGATTGTATGCAGACCCTACAATATGGAGCATACTACCATATACAAGATTGAAATTTTTTATGTATGAAAAAATGAAAGGAAATTTACATGAAGAATCTCCATCATCTTTACTTGCTAAGCTCACTTGTGGAGTAATAGCTAGTGTTATAGGTCAAATTATGATATATTTTCTTGATATTGTCCAACATCAAATATAGGTGCAACCTAAGAATGCTTTGGTAGGTACTTAGTACAAAAGGACTCTTGATGGTCTCTTCAAAATTGCTCGTGAGTAAGAATGGAAGCAATTGTTTGTTCGGCTTCGCATTAATTATATGAAAGTGAATATATCTCTTCAACGATTTGTAATTGTTCATCAACTTCATGGTTTTTTTTCACTAGTATTAGATACTAAATTTCTTCTATTGACTTCACGTGATGCTGGGTTTGCATGTTTTTTTGCACTCTGCAAAATTCATGGCTTTGTCAATAGCAAGATTAATTTTGTTTTACTATTGACAAGACAAATGGGGCTTTTGTAGTTGATTCCTTCTGCAACAATTGGATTTGTGGCATATGACAACCTTAAGAGCATCCTTTGAGTTCTCCATTGTGAATAGAAGAATTGAATTATGATTTATCAAAAAGTTCTTTAGCATGTTAGATCTTTGAATAGAAATCATGAAGTATAAAACCATTGTACTGCAAACTACCACATTTTAAACTTGATGCATGATGGTTTGGATTTGATTAGATTTGAGTGTATAAGAAGACTACTGAGCCATAATAGTTGTAGCTAGAATGTGAAATTCTCTTTTGAGATTTGGTTGTTAATAAAGGTACAAATTTTAGACACTGAAAGGATAAAATGTGATTGCTTAATACTTGGAATTGAAAGTGAAGTGGTTGCACAATTGTTTAAGTAGAAACTATTAGAATGACAAACCTTCTATCACTGAGTGCAATTTGATTGTTGTTTCAAATATTCTTTTGAATGATTTAGTTTATAAAACCTACTATTATATATCTTATAAAAAATAAATCATTACATAACTTGGGTTGAAAGAATATTACACATATGAAATTGATTTTAGACTTTAAATGTTGTTTATGAATGTAAATTTACTGTATTGATAAACTCCACATGAAATTTTTTCAGTTTGCCATGCTACCTGATGGCAATACTTGGATATACATAGATAAAACGTATTTCACCTAAAGGTAATTGGCAAATATGCCAAAACATATAAATCTTCAAACATAACTTCAAACATGCTTTCTTACTATTATCATATTTGGAAGAATGGAAAAAAAATTGTCAATTATAGAAAAATATAGTAGAAGCATATTGATTCTTAGGTAGAGAAGCATCTATGTAACAAAAGCAAAGAAAATTGTACTCAAAGTAAGAATGGCCAAAACTATAGAAGCAACAAGCTTTTTTTTTATGTGTGCTTTTTAGAGCTATTAGATCTAATGTACGTTATCTTTGGTGGTGTAGTAATTGCTGTACTTATAAGCTTACATTACATTCATTATTGTGATGTCAACCACTATTGCAACAAGTGAATATTTAGATATCTTTCATTCTTCATTAGATCCATATACAAGTATATGAAAATTAAGATAAAATTCAGAGAGTCAATGTATGATAAGTAACACATATGCACAAATTTTAATGGGTACAAGGCAATAAGCAAATAACTCCATGCTTGTGAAATAGACAAGGACAGTAGAAATCATGCAATTTTTTTAGTTTGTAATATCTAAAAAAATTACACTTACACAATCATGTAGTAATTCATAATATTATTAGATATAAAAACAATGTCTAAAATTGTTAACTTTTGTGCAAGAACATTTACTGGCCACAACATTTACTGGCCATAACTAAAACAAAACAAAACAAAACAAAAAAAAAAAAAAAAAAAAAAAAAAAAAAGCAAGCATGCAGCACTTTCCAAGCAATAGAATTACCTCTACTTGTTCCAATGAATAAATAAACAAATAAATAAATCAGCAAAATTTTCTCCAGTCATGAAACAGCATGAAACAAAATTTTCTCTTCACTCATGAAAGCACCTCACAATCCATCTGATGAATTCCTTATTACATATTTACTATTACATCTTTACAATAGATTTTGCACCATGTTGGTTTAATTAAAAAATTTATATAAATTGACTAATCTCAATATTACCCAGGAAAGGAAACAGAAGAAAGAGAGAAAGCCATCCACCCCAATTTCGAAGAAATGGAAACAAAGCAAATAATAAACGAACGAAGAGTGGTTTCTCTTTCCTCCTGCTTCTGCTTTTCCACCCTAACTTTGATTGCCTCTTCTGTCTGCGCACTGGCATCCTCCTGCTCCTATCATCTTCCAAATCATCCCACCCTCCCATGCTCACACTCTCTCCGGGTTTTCTACTCGGTTGACCTCCCCGTCTTGATATGATTCTGTTAATATTTGAAGTTGAATCTGAATATGTGAAAGATTCTGCGGTACCCTTGGTATTGGGTTCGCCAACAGCAGACTTTTTGTATCTGTAAGGTCGTGCATTATCACGTTCGCCACTCCAGCTTGAATATGCATCGTCCACTTCATCGGAGCCGGGTTCATCAGTTTCCGTTCTGCGCCTTCGCTTTGATGGAGATTCTGAAAGATCCAAGATTGCTTCCCAAACTTCACTCACAACTGGGCCAACGGCTCTCTGAACAGCAGGAACTGCAGCTAGACCTAGCAAAAGGATAAAAGGGTTGCCGAGTAACCATGGCAAGACTACAAAGGACACGGGTATTCCCCAGCGCAGAGAAGAGTACAGCTGGTCCTGCAAAAGTTGTGAGCCACGTTCAGACCTATACAGAAGCCACTAATGCGATTCGGATAATCCCAAGAAACACTCCCCTTCGAAATGCGTATTTTGTCAAAACAAAGAAGCCACTTAATAGCCCGAATACAGATTAGATCTCGCTAGCAAGACATAGGTGCTGCTGCTAGAACGTAGACAACAATTAGAGAAGCCCCACTTTTCGCACATGAACAGCGGATCAAGAACGGAGCTACACACTGATATCCAAGGGATACATCATCAAGTTCTTAGTGGCTAATCAATACTGATCAAGTGGCTTTACGTTACGTTAAGAACTTCTCCACAGTTTTCTTCAGACTTCTAAACAATACTCGAAAGAGTGAGATGGGATGTTGACAGGAGGCTGGCTTATCATTCATGTACATAAACAGTCTAGAACTGCACTTGCAATTACCTCCATGGCTACTGGTGTTTCATGTAATTAACAATTTCGGAAGGGAACCAAAATAGTCAGATTAAAAAAACAAGAATGACATTCTTGAGAAAGGAATTTTTAGGTGAATTTGCGACTTACAGATCTTACGCCAAAGCCATCATACTCCTCATCGTCATAATCCTCCTCCTCCTCCTCATCCGCCTCTTCATCATCATATCCGCCGTCACCTTTTGAGGATTTCCACCACGGCAGCTCCTCGTCTGGTTTATTCCGAGTCTCTTCCGATTTGTTCTCATCGGAGTTGAAAGTCCATCCCTTCTTAGGCGTCAGCCAGTCAGGCGTGGTGGTGGCTGGTGAAGATGCCTCTCGGCCACCAAAACGGTTTCGGTTTCTCCTGCGCACACTCTCCACATTTGAATCCCAAGGATTGATTCCTCCTACTCCATCGCTTTCTCCATCATCGTCAGGCCAGGAGCTCTGACTTCTTTCCTGTCTGGTCGTACTCTTTGGTCCCCCTGATACTCGTACGATGCGACTAACATTTAGCCTCTCCCTCGAAAACCATCTCCAATTCACGGGCCTTGTTCCTAGAGAATGCACGTAATATAACTTACACAAGCTCATGGAATCAGAACGGGCAGACCACACTGGAGCTTCCGATGTCTTCCTCAACTGCCGCCACCAACTATTCACCAATTACACATGATCTAAAGCCGAACTCTACCACCGGGAACCCGATCCAAGGACACGGCTCTGCGTGTCGAAATCAAGCATTCGTCAAATCGCCACCAACGAAAACCGAATCCTCTTAATGTATCGTCACAAACCCTAGGCCACGCCCTTCAAATCATCCCTGTCGACCCCGACGACAACCTTCCAAAGAACAAACTTCTGGAACCGAATCGCAATCTCCGAGCTTCGTAGAAAAGTCACAAAATCCAGTCTTCCTGATGCACAGGCATAAGAGCAGAGTTTGTAACACTTGGTTGTAGAGTTTCCCTCACAAAGCTCTTCAAATATATATCAGAATTCACATCGACAAACCCAATTGCGAAGCTCTGGTTGTTGGTTTATAAAATAGGGTTACGATACTCTTCGCAGAATATTGCTTTCCAAACCCACCTAACAAACGAAAGGACATTCATGATACCATTTTCCAGTGTTCACGTCTCCTTGACAGAAATTCTTCCAAGAACCCGAATAGCAACACAAAGACCCACCTGAGAATTGCGCAGCTCGCAGAGAGGATAGCACGATACCAGCCCAGTATGTCAAAGCAATTCACGAGCGATTTAACTGGTGAAACACCGAGGAGAGGATCACATGCCCTAGACCTGGTGGCACCTTGGTCCCATCGACCTGTCTTCAATCCCAATCCCGAGTATCGGCTCTGCACCACAAAATCCTATGCCAAGGAATCAAAAGCGAATCCCACCCTAGTGTCTTGTCTGGAACCCTTAGTGCACAAGAGAAGAAGGTCGTGCCACTTTGACTATTTCCATCGCAGTTCTCATCCATTCTATTACATTATAAAATCGTATTTCCGCTTTTATAAAGCCGATGATAATATTCAGGTGTGTATTTTAAATGTGAATTACAGAGTCAAACCCTTTTTAAGTTGAAAAACATAGCAGCTAATTCCGCGAACGAAAGCTGTGAGAGTAGTACCCATATACATACGTACACGTATGTGGCGGTAGTGAAAGGCTCGATGGAGGCCGCATGTTCCAGTGGATTGACGTTGGAGGTCTACATTTGATCGCCACGCCCAATTCCAGCGCCTCGGATCGCATTTACAGCTGCACGAAGGGCATCGCAAGCGTGTGGGTCGATATCCATCACTGGAATTGCTGCATAGGAACATTGTTCATTAGACTGCTTAGAGAATTGCCACTCATACTCGACGTCGGCAATAGCAGGGTATCAGAATCTCCTTCACGTAAGGTGCAGTGCTCGGTGAATCAGAATCTGTGATTTCTGTAGGGAAGAAGGGGCATCGTGTTGGTTGTGGAGTTCGAGGAATTTTTGCGCTGGGAATTTGCTACTGGTACAATTAGCTTATCTTGTCCGTGCTTTGTGAATACTAATTTTAGGTGCTCTCTGGCAGCGAGAGTTCAAAGTTAGTGCTCTTAGTTCCTCACCATGTCTCAATCTTCTTCGTGAGAGGAATGTTTAATAGAGTTTCAAGGAATAGAGATCACGTGTTGTGGTCACCATGTATGAGGAGACCTCTTGATTTGATCACGGTTGCTTTGAAACCGTTCCGTTTTCTAGAAAGGTCATCACAGATTTCGTGATGTGTATCAATTGTCAAGTTTTCAATTTGTTACTGAAACGTGTACTGCATTCCAAGTTTTTTTTTTTTTTCTTTTTTGTGTTTTATTGCGTAATTGCTCCTGGCCTGAGGGGAGGGTGGGTTTCTGTTGCACAACACTTCACCAGAGTTTATAACCACGTCCTCCTCAGTGTATTGTTATTCGTTGTCTCATTGAAAGGCATGGGACCTGAAGTTTGATTCCTGCTTCTGGGCGGCATGGGCGTGTTGGTAATTCCATTTCGCTTCATCTATCGGTTCTTATTAAGAAAAGAAAAACGTGCGAAATTACTATTACAGTATCAATGTTTAGTGGCACAAATATTTAGTATGCAATCTCTCTATCTCTAGTGTGAAGTTTTCACAATAGAAGTTTGTGCACAAGAGAATTACTCTTCGAACTCTGAAGCTACCGTGACACTACGCAGTTGTAGAATGCGCATTTGCTTCGAAATTCGCTTCACAAGTTACTGTACTTTCCGACATTCAATGATCAAATGTCCGTTCTGATTTGCAACTGATGTGCAGCTCGAATCAGCCCGTTTGCTTGCGGAGAATGCTGCGGAGGCGTTTGGCAAGGCAGACGGAGAGCCATCGAAGTGTCCACGATGCAAGGGGTCAGGTTTGCATATGGAACCATCTACGAAGAATAGCCATTCAACTTCAACAAACTCTAACAATCCCTGCTGGTTTTGTGAAGGGTGCGCACTCATCTCTCTTTACACATCTGCTGTTTTCTAGTCTTATTTTCATCTCCTTCTTGAATTGAGACGCTCCCATTCGTCTTAGCCAAAACTTGAAAATATGATCTTCCTGTTCTGTACTTGAAATAAGTCGATAGTGCGTGTCGCTCATTGGTATTCTTTGGGGAGCGTGCAACTTTTTCACAACCATTACCACTGCTTGTCAGGATGGGAGTAATGGCAGTTGCCAGTACCGATGGCTACATGCTGGGAAGATCCAATTCTCTTCTAAACACAGGTCGCTTCGAAAAGCATCTCGGAATGCCTGTCAGCTTCCACCTGTACAGTGGGAAGTTTCCAGAGGCGAAAACCAAACTCGTATCGTACAAACCTTCGAAACACATTCTTCAAGAGCTACAAGAGCCTCTGTCCACCCCAGCTCTTCATCGTGACCTTCCCAGGAATGCTGCATCGAGTAGTTCGAGCTTCTCGGAAACCCAAACTTCTGATTCCGCCGAATTCAACGAATTCTCATCTTGGACGTTTATGAGTCTGAAACACTTAGGGGAGCAACATCGTCACAACTTCCACGCTAGATTGAGTGCACCGTTTGCCAATTCAAAGGCTGCCGCGGTCACAAGACCGTCACTATCTGTGAAACCTACCGCAGCAGTACCTGGCGATTCTTCCGCGCTCATGCTGCAGATTAGTAGCAAAACGCAGAGGAGAGGAAGCGACCCAAAGACCAAGAACTTTCAAATTCTATCAAAAGACGCCCTCGACTCTGAGTCCCTCCAGAAGAATGACTTTCCTAGCAGGAGAGCTTCGAGAAGGTTGAGAGAAAACGCATGGGATACAAGTCTACGGAAACCCACATTGCCCCCTCACTCGGACTTAGATAGCGGCGCTGGTTCCATACTTCGAGAAGGAAAAGGTGGAGAAGATGCGAAATGTACCACCAGGTGGTCCAGGCATTCAAGGTTGCAAAGGAAGCCAAGGAATCGTGTAAGGGAGGAGGTAGAAAAGGAGATAGTGGTCAGAACTTTAAGAGCTCAACATTCGCTTGCAACTAGAAAGTTGCTGACACCACCTGCATCTTCAGATCCTCTACTAGGTGAAAAATGCTTCAATCTCATCTTTTCTACCTTAAATTCACAGCATTAGAACTGAGAGGCTGTGATAAGAAAATCTCAACTCATCAGCTGCCTACCGAAACATTATCCCAACCCTTCAACTCTGCCTTCTGATATGACGTATATCAATGAGAAGGATAGGTTTTGTTTTACCATGTTAGGTTATCGAGTGAAACCCTAATCTGCTTCAGTTGCATGTCTCAACGCAGATACCCTCTTGAATGATCAGAATGCAGACTTGATTGAGCAGCAAGGCAAGAAGACCAATGCTCGCATACGCTGGCCACTCGTGTCGAGCAGTACAGCAGATCTTTCGTTGATAAACAAGCTTGTTTACAAGAAGGCGAAGGATGTCATGACATGCAAAAGCAGCTCAACAACAAAGATCTAACAAAATGGTGCATTGCACAAACAGCCTAACTGCACTTTTAGGTTCAGTGCCAAACATGCCAGGTCGCGGTATTGTCTGCAAAGTTTCTACAGTTCCAATTGTAACGTATCACCACAACATTCCTGTGTAAACCGCGTTTGTGCTGAATACCTTGAAACTAAGTAGTGTACAAAAGTGCAGGGAATTGAGATCTGGACCTTCACATTGCCAAATAACTTTCTGCAGGCTTATGATATGGGTTACTTTGAATAGCCTGTGGTGTGTTTGTGCTTCTGCATGTGATCTGTATTTTCTCTGTGATAATAAAGCATGTGAGGAATATTTGTTTTTCGAAGATCCAAGATACTAAATGATGACTTAGTTGTATATTCTTTGACACTTAGGAGATTTAAGTTTTTCGGCTCACACTTCTAAATAAATCGTGTTTTAATTTTATAAAGTCAACTTTATTTAGACTACGTTTTTTAGTCCTTCCAAGAACTTAATCTTCCAATATCTCTTAATGAACACATTCCAAGATTTATGATTTCAATTAAGATTTCAATTAAGATTAAATTATGACTTGATTAAAATTTATTTAGGATTTATTTAAGTTTTCTATTTTTATTAATTTTAAAAGATATTTTTATTATTTCTTTAAAATTTTCTATTTATAATATTTTTAAAAGATAATTTTTATTTCTTTAAGATTTATTTTTATATTTTTTTAGGATTTCTTTATTACATTTCTTTGAGATTAATTTAGAAATTATTTATGTTTTTTTGTAAATTCTTTTAAATTTTTTTTAGATTGGTTAAAATTTGATTTATTCACATATATGAAATGGTCCAAATCTACATTAATCCAACTTGTCACCAAGGCAATTAGTCTTGATATTGCAATGAAATAACCTACCTTGTTGTCAATATAGAATTGAAGTTGCTCTTTGCGATAGGTATCGGCGTTGGTCTTTTTTTGTTCTTGAGTTTCTTTTAGTTGTGCCTTCATTATTGTATGTAGTTTAAATAAATAATTTGTCAAATATTTTGCGGCAAGATCATCAACTTTTGAGAAATCAAAAGTATTAAGTTATAGATGATAATCATAATTAGCAAAAAAAAAAAAATGTTTGTTGCATAGAAAAATATATTATATTATTATAAGAAACTTTACTAATGAAAAAAGAGTTGTTCAATCATCTTGTTGGTAGTTGATAATACACCTCAAATATTGCTCAAAAACTTGATTTATGCACTTTGTTTGTCTATTGAAATGAAGATTAAAAGCCAAAGATAGATTTATATCTATCATTAGAAGCTTAAAAAGAATTCTCTAAAATCTTAATACAAAATAAGTCATTCTATTTAATATAATATCCTTTAGTAATCCATTTTAGCAATACATACTATCAATGAAAAGCTTAGTTGTTTCTTTACTTGCAATAGATTTTATATATAGTACAAAATATTCCATCTTGGTGAAACAATCTATTATCACAAAAATAGAATCATAAATACCTAAAATTGAAAGATATACACTAAGATCCATAGAAATAGAAGAATATGATTTTTTAAAAATAAGTAATTGTTGAAGAAGCTTATAAGGTTGTTGATGATGAATTTTTTATCTTGAATAAATGTCATATGAATGTACAAAGTCTTTAATTGCCTTCCACATTTGAAGCCACAAAAAATCTCTATGCATTAGCTCTAAAGTCTTGTTGTATCCAAAATATTTGACTACTAGAAAGTTGTGATGAGATTGTAGAACACACAATTGTATTTTGCCTTTTGGAATATATAATTGACCTTCAAAATAGAATAGATTATTCTTGAACTCAAACTTAGAAGTATCATGAGACTTAAAAGAATTATTCTTAACATCATAAATAAGAATTTTATACTTGGACAACTTATCTACATGGATGTGAATTTTTGAAAAATGTGCACAATAAAATTATATAATATGATACTAGCAATTATTATAAAATATCAAAAATAATAATTTCATGCTTAAAATTTAATTTATAGTGATTATCCAAAATATCAAATCTAATTATGTAATTAAATTGTAATATGCTTCACAATTTTATCAAGTCTAATTGGCAGGGAATGGTATGCATAATATGGATGTTGTGGTTATTAATTTTCTTATGGTTGCTAATGACGTCATGGTAAAAATATAAGTTATCCACGATTTCTTGTTGGGTTATGGTTGATCCTATCTATGTAATCTACAGTGCACAATCTTGACAACAAAACAAGTTTAATTGATTTAAATCATTTATCTTCTCTCCTACTAGCAACTAAGGCATGCAGGTAGAAAATTTAGTGATAACCAACTCTGCCTTCTCTTCTGATAACATGTACAAGCAAGCTAAAAATTTATGAATTTACTTACAAAAATTATTTGAATATCAATTGGAAGTATACAATTGTTTGGGAGGTGCCACCAAGTTACCCAAAGATTTCAGAATAAATAACAGGAACACCAATTCATAATTTTTACTAAGAAAATTCACAAGAAATAGAAAATCAACATAAACATTGCCAGTATACGAATGCTTGCTGTTGTTTGTTCCAACCACAAGTTCACAAAAGTATCAACATTCAAGTGCGCATAAAAAGAGAAATCTGCTCAAGTCAATGAGAAGTGTGCATCAATACGCACACAATTTGAGGATAGAACTAAAACTACACATTTGATTCTCATCATGGAGATAACAGCGGCACTCACACAAGGACAACATAACATCGTTCTTCTCAACAAACTAACCGAACAGTGTGATAACAATCATCTACAGAGAGGACAAAGGATAAAGAATACACTCATTAATTATGTAAGTATAGAAGTTTGATATCATTTCTCGGAAGGATCGATATTCAAATGGGCTAGTCTAAAGGGGGAAACCACGAGATGGAGGTAACCGTGCGGCTTTGCGAATCGGCCTTGCCTCCAAATGGGCTCCAGGTTGTAGCAATAGAATCAACACATGATGCTGCTGCTACAACAAAAATGGTGATGGTGCGGCAGTTTTAGTGAGATCTAATATACATGCTGGTATGGACAGTAGTCGGTGGGCCTAGCGCAGTCTCGCCATCCGGGCCGACTGGCGGTGCATAAGCGTGGCGATCGCTGGATTTTCCGATATAACGATGCCGTAACCATCTGCGAGATTGTATTTCAGAGACTTAGGGACGAAATGCCAGACCATCGCGCCCGCGGCTGGGCCCCCGCTTCTCGCCGACGCATACACCGCGTTGAACATGTCCGCCATGTCGTTGTATCGATTGCTGGGGTTGTAGCCTGGGGTCCTGTCCGACTTCCCGTACTCAGCGAACAATACAGGCTTGTTTAGTTTGTACTTCGCGTCGCTGATGTGGGTCCTAATCCACAACGCCATGAACGCCCTCCTATCATACTCGCTGCGGTTGGGCAACCTGCATTCAATCGATTGCGCATGTGTAAGTTCGGTAATCGACTAGTTTCGTGACTCTCGGATTCCGCATAGGGACGTTCTGAGAGGGTCAGTGCATCGCCGCAAATGTTTGTGCGGTCAATGCTAGAGAAACAACTACTGCAAACGACAAGACACTATCGGAGGAATTTCATGTGGGGAGTAATTCTGCATGATTACCAGCTGTCGGGGTATGAATGCACGGTGGCGAAATCGATCCCGGGGATTAGATTGTTGCGAACATAGTCGGTTCCAAATTGAGAAGCATAATTAGATGGGTGGCCGGGATTGGCTTTCTGTGAATAGATCGAATCCGGAGCCACCTGCGAGCTGTAGAACCCTTCCAGTCCGACCTCCAGCATGTGATTCCTATCAAGGGACTTGACGAATCTAGCCATTTCCTGAATCCATCTCTGCAGCACAGGGAATCCCAATCCACCGCTTTAGGGGCGTTGGCACTCGTGACTGGCAATATACTCAAGCATGGGAAGAAAAGAGGCAGAACATGCATATGTGAAGTACAGATTCCCACCTGCAAGACATTCCCACTCTTGTCCGATTCACAACGGGGCTCGTTCATCAGCTCCCAAGCAAAAATGGCAGGCTCGTTGCGGTAGGCCACTCGCGTGTACGTGTTAACCCTCGTAATAACTTTCTGTTATCACCAATATCGCAAGTATTAGAGATGGGATCGACCGATGCGGATCGGTTCATGAAATGCACCTGACTGACCAATGACTGTAAATGTGCACTTGATAGTTGTCAACCGCAATCAGCATAGACCACACATTTGTAAAAAGATGTGCAACCGTACCCTGATGTGATTCCTATACCACTGCCGGATGGTGCCATCAGTGTAGAAATCGTCTTCTTTAGCGTTCCATTTCCCTGCATAGCGTTGCGCCCATGTGGCATACTGTTTCCTGCCACCGTAGTCGGCATAGTTGTTCACGAAACTCAGAATCAGCCGAATCCCGACCTTCTTGGCCTCGGCCACCGCATAGTCTAGACCCTGTGAAGAAGAGAGCAGTATTAACCAGTTAGGATTTGTATGCACTGGGTAAGAACTCGGGATGCAGCGAAATAAGAAAGCTGGAAATGTGTTATTATGCAGCAAGTACCTGGAATACAGCTTCTGTGTAGACGCCGGGCCGCGTTTGGAGGTTGTAGTTAGCGTCACCATCGGCAAAAGCCCAGATGCGAACGACGGTAACACCAAGGCCAGCAGATTCCCTTAGGATTTCCGTCACCAGACGCCTTCCTTCAGGGTACGAACCTAAAGTCATTAGGTAGTACATATTAGCGCCATTCACAAATAGCCTTTTTCCATTCAACACGAACTGCTGGCCTCTCGCCTGAACGAACCGGCCTCTCCACACCGGAGTCGGCTGGATAGGGTGATTGGAAGCCAATGTTATTCGATCTGATCCTGGATCAATGTAATCACTGTTCGACTCTGTGTCGAGAATGTCGTTTCCACTTTCCTCAGAGGCCGTGTAGTATTGCGACGCGAACGAGTCGAAATCCCGGTCATCTGAGTCATCAACCGTAAAATCATTTGTAGACGCTCCTGCGTTAGCGCAGGTCCAGGTCGACGCGACGATGATAATCAACCCGAGCAGAAGTGCGAGGTCCACAGGCCGTGTGTCAGATTTTCTCATGGCTGAAGTCATTCTGACTTAGATTTGAGAGTGCAAAACCACGTAGAAAAAGCACGAAAGGCGTAGAAAGCCCAGCTCAGATCATTTACCCCGTCGCCCTACCTGCTTGATGCTTCGTTCCTGATAACAGCAACCCCAGAAGACATCGAGATGTTTCTGTGCAGATATGCACAAGTGCACCAATCCTAACACCGAAGCATGATAATGCTTCAAACTATACTGTCACAGATGACTGTGGATGATACACGAAGGAACGACACTGCAAACTATCCGAAGAGCTGAATGCGTATAAGCGATTTAAGGTACACAGGCAGGACACTGGCATGCGTCATGAACATATTATATTGAGCTGGTTTCCTACGCCACACATCGACTGATCGAGGACTTCTGAGTGAACGAGGAAGAACATGTGAATTATATAAAGTTCCTGGAAATAGCACGAGCGACTGACGTGGAGCGGAAGAATTGCTTTGAAAATGTACAGGCTTATTCAGTAATAAATTTACATTCTTTGTGTTCGGCGTTTTCTTAGCATCCCTCGGAGGCGAGGAGTCCACGGCACAATCCAAGGACCATACTGCTCCCGTTAAAGGTACCAGCCCCTCCAGTTCCAGATCGTTCCTAAGTTAGAGATTAACAAATTAAATTTGAGTGCTTTTTTAGTTTTCGGTGGCAATCACGAATTTTCATCAGAACGGTGCCAAGTGTAAAGCCAAATGGATACCGTTTAAATTATACAACCCAAGCGATCAGCCAGGTAATTGGCTCTGTGATCAGTAGAATCCTTGTTCGTCCTCTTATTTCAGCCGCATATTCTTTTTGTTTAGGTGAACACAAGCCCGCCAAAATTGCCAAGGGTCGTCTTTGAACTTGCTCGTCGACCTCAAAACAAAATAAAAATATACAATTACATTTCTTGAGCTATTCAAGCTGAGGGACTCAGAAGACCTCTCTAGCTGGGGGGAATTTTATTCAGTTTTTCTCAGAACCAAACCAGTTTTCAACCAAAATTCTGACACAACCATTTCGAATCTTAGTAAGAGCTAGGTCCGGTTAGTTACATACATGTCTGACGACGTTAGAGAGATGGTAACCGAAAAGTTCATACTCGCCCTCAACCAACGCCTCTGAGTCATTCATCCAGGATTTTCAAGATGAGGACCCTATCGATATTCTTCATTTAGGGTGGTACAAATTAAAGGCACAACGAATCCTTAATCGGTTCATTCGGCGGTAACGTCTGAAAGTTTGCGGATGCCGCTCGGGAATTCTCACCGGCCTCTTCTAGTGGGCGGGATACGGCAGGCGAGTATTACGCCGGAGCGGTGCGGCACCAGTCTCTGGATCATGGCGAAATCTAAGGGAGTCTTCATCTACTACATAAGGGAATCGACCATTTACTTCAGACCCCGCCTATTGCAGCCAAAGTACTCAGGCTCATTTTGCAAACAAGTTAAATTGCCGTATTCATCATGAGTTGGAGGGAGGAGGCGATGAAGGGGTATTCACTTGGAGCGCAGATTCACCTCCGCAAACGGCGTCAACTAACATTAGTGACCCCAAAGTCAACATCTTTCGTCGTCTAGCCTCTTTATATTGATATCGCCACTGAGTCTAGAGGTAATTGAGTTATAAATGTACTCTTGCTTGTGACTTTGCCGCGATTTCTGCAAATGGAAGTACCTCGTTGTACAAACCCACTGTTGAAGCAAGAATAGAATTCAACTGATTGCTGGGCATTGTTGCTATATCCATCGGCTGATTACTTTTAAGTTTTTACTTTAAAATTGAATCTTGTTAAGATACATAATTTTATGAAATATCACCAGTGTACTGTAGACATGGTTTTTATACCAGTTTTGTATCAACTAAAGAAGTATCCAATCACTACTTTAAAATGATTATTTAAAAAACTATTCATATTCAAATTAGATTAAAAACTAGATGCATATATGAATGTGCAGATTAGTTTTTAAGTAGAAATTATATATTTTTAATTGTAAAAGATGCTGAATAGATCATCCATTATTTATTTATTTTAGTTTCATTAACAATAAGAGAGTGCCTTAATTTATTCATTTTTAATATCTTAGATTTTTTAATAGGAGTTTTGAGAAATAAAATTTATTAAAAATCTAAATAAATAAAGCATAAGGTAAAACACAATGGCTTATAGAATCATACAAAAGGCCCTACTTTATAGAATAAGCATATCTTTAAAGTAGAATAAGTATTCTAATATCTACTTATATAATTTCTTACATGAATATAAATAAAAGAATATAAAATCAACCAACTTAAAACTTAAATCAATCCACATATCTTTTCTTTGGTCTATTCCCACATGATCTAAGGCTTTGCACTCTCTCAATAATTCTTCAATTTTGTATTAGATAATGTGTTGGTTTGACAAGGAGGTGAGAGGTAGTAAATGAAACTCTTAGAAAAGGCTAAAATGGAGCAACTTGAAATAACGATTGTTTTAATTTTAGTAATAGTAGGTCAATATAATAAACTCTTATAAATAAAGTATTTATTTTGTATCTCATTTAATATCTTATTTAGAATGGTATTCTGAAAATTCTAAAAAGGTTTATTTAATATTGATAAATTTATAAGAAGTAATTATTTGTATTGTATAAAAGACTTGAAAAAAAAAAAAAAAAAAACGTACTTGTTTAATGTACTAATGTATTAAGTTGATTGTAAAATATCATTGATGTGTTTTTTTCTTTTTTTTTCTTTTTTTTCTCATTTTGCACATGATTTGAATATTTTTTTTATTAATTAAAATATTTTATCAAATGAATAAATATTCAAATATATATATGTATATATTTAGGCTTAATTTTTAATTATTTTAATATATTAGATATTTAATTAAGTAAAGATAAATAAAATTAATATCACATTTGAAGCTCTTTATGCATTTTACATTGGTAATTGTAGTACTAAAGTAGAAATAAACATCATTACATATTTGTAAGAATAATTCCCTACAAAAATTGCAACAAGTGGTACATTGTAGTATACTACAAAAAACAAATTGTTACATATTATATTTATGGTGATACATGATCTTGAGTAGTATAAATGTATATTAAATTTATTTTGTAAAGATATTAAAAAAATATATAAAAGATATAAAATTCTTATAATATGTTGTGACATTCAAGAAAAAAAATGTTGCCTAAAGAAAAACATAAATCTAAAGTAATATATGTTTGTGTGGACTATATGATTTATAATTTTTTTAAATATATATATATATATATATATATATATTATTTATTAAATTATTTTTATATTTGAAATTGATGCAAAATTTTATGGACATTTTGAGACCAAAAGTTATTGCCTTTAGATAAAATTTTATAATAAATAATACTATAAGTAGATTCAATATAGTTTATTTTAATTAAAATCTAATTTCTTAAAATATATGAATGATAATTTATCTCTTGATTTTTTTTTTATAAGTTTCTATTTTACAAAAAAAGAAAAAATCTAAATATAAAATATAAAATCTCAAGTATAAATGTATGTGTATATGTAATCCTTTCTAATGTAGGATATTGTCCTACTTATTCCATATTAAATAATATAATAAAAAAAATACGAATAAAGAATATAAAGAACATGAATCTGAAAATTGTTGATCAATTTTAAAAGATAGCAATATTACCATTCAAAAATAGAGGCATTAGTTTGGAGCAGATAATCATTCTGAGCACAACATTGAAATAAAATGTAATTTCATAAGTATTTGATGGAAATGCATTATTTTCTTTCTTGTTAACATGCAAAGAAAGTTATTGAGGATTTACCAACAGCTACTTTTAAACTTTACTTAGCATAAAATACTAATATTATACAGTCATTTGATTTCATGTAGTATATGAATTTTTTTTGACAATGTATTTAACCAATTTTTCTTTTCAAAGTTGTAAAATCAAAACCACTCAAGTTACAAATGTCTACACCAGGTTTTTTTTAATAAGAAGATTAAATTGATGTTTTAGGCACCAAATGCAATAAAACATATTAGATAGTATTTTGGCTGTAATTCTTGTTAAAGATCCTTGGATACAACTAGTTATGGTTGCTGCTCTATTGCTTGATGACATAATTATATTTATTATTTCAATTGAAGCACATTAAATTAAAAAAATTCATTGTGACATTGAATAATGATTTGCTAATAAGTAAAATAATAGCAATTTATTATTGCTTTTACAAGAGAAACTAAAAATTCAAGAGTCTACATGGAAGTGTTTTAAAATATTAAAGGAAACATTGGCGGTAAGTGAAAATGTCCAATATGAATGCATAATGTCAAAAATGAGTTGCAATGTGCTGCATAAATAATGTGAGATAAATTTGAAGTTTCTTTTAGAAACAAACATTTTATTTTGGCAGTGATTCTAAGACAATAACAATTATCTTTCATTGTCTAAGAAATGTGCTAAAACAATAGGCCATATACTAAAAGAGAAGCATCATAGTCAAATCAAATTATTTTCTTGAAAGTCACCTTATATAAAATGATGGATTTATTATGATTGTTTAGTTTTTTGTAATAAGAAAAAAAGGATCTCATTGTAATATTTCCAATGATCACTTCTTTTTCACTGAACAATATAGCTTAAGAAATTTCTTTAGTGATTGATTTTAAGATTATTAAAAAATAGTTTCCATCATCAACAACAATTTCTTGTTCAAAATAAGCATTTATTACATTTTGTGAGAAGAATGTTAAAAAATAATCAAGAAATTCTTTTTTTAACCATCAGGCATTGTTATACTTTTGGGATTTTATAAGGTATTTCTCCGTTAATGTTATCTAAGTAAAATAACTTTGAGTGATATTGAAAATTTATAATTCTCTTCTACTTTTGAACCACTCTTCTATCAACTCTTTTGCATTTCCGACCAAATGATTTACAAAAATACCAAATGCACAATTCTACAATCATTGAAATATCATATTGGAAACTGGTTTAGATGCCAAATAACTCCAAATAAAAATTTTATTAAGAAAAGACGTGCTTAGGATCTATTACTTACAATTCTTGTTTAATAGCACAACAAAATTCAACAAAATTCAAAAAACACTTGTACAACTACCAAACACATTTTTTGCAAGGATTTCAAGCTAAAAAAACTCTATTAATAAAAGAAATTTGCTTTGATTATTTAAAAATATATTTCCTAAATCAAGTAAATTTTTTTAAATTCAAATATATATATATATATATATATATATATATATATATTTCTTATAGTAACGTTGAAAAACATAAATTTCTACATATGTATTAAAAGTTAATAAATATTTTGAAAGTTAAAGAAAAAAAGTTAAAAACCTAAAGAATACAAAATTTAAAGATTACATCATATTAGATTGGTTAGTTTTACTTAAAAAGTTGTTTGTATATCTGAAATCAATACTAGATAAAATAAATAATATTGAAAATATAAAAAATAGCTTAAATCTTACCTCTATAAGTGCTAATTGAAAAAAAGATCAAACAATTGTTCTCTAAGAATTAAAAAGCTAACAAGATAATTATCTTAAGTATATATAATTTAAAATATACATCTTTGGTATTAAAAAAGAAATAAAATAGAAATTAAGAGAAAGTAGATTTTTCTATAGATATATAATCTACTCCAATGTTAAGTTTTGTATATATTTAGACTTGGTTCTTTGATTTGAATATTTAACAAATAAAAATTGAGTTATATATGAATATAATAAAACATAAGTCTTAATTTTTTAAAGATATTTTTAATCTTAGGTTTAATTTTTATCTTATGAGTACTTATTTAATTATTTTAGATTTTCATTTATTTTATTTTAATATGAGTAGTAATGTAAAAATTTAAAAAGAATATTAGAAATTTAATAATATTTATTTAATCTATTATCCTAAAGTTAACAATTTTTTTCTATAATAATCGGTATATGCTTTTTTATCTTTTTTTTTTAAATTTTAGAATTGCAATTTTTTGTTAATAATTAGATTAATATTGATATTTTTTAATGTATCTAGTCAATAATCAGAAATGTTTTCTTCTCATTGTTGGTTTAAGTTAGTGATTATTTAGTAGTATTATTGTTTTTACAAATGATTTTAGTACATCATATATATATATATATATATATATATATATCTATATATATAACTTAAGTCAATGGTTTGTTGTAGTTAATTTAAATATATATATATATATTTTTTAATTCATTCATTACGAGATTTTCATTAGTGTTAAATATGTCTCTATTAGCACGACAGGCGGACAATATCTCATTAAACTGGATGTTGAGTAGTGACATCTTTTTGTGTAGAAGACGGAAAGATTCACAAAACAACAATAATATCAACAATCGGAAGTGAAAATCATCCTCACTGTGTGAACTGCTTTTACTGAAGGCAACACAAGTAGTTATGCAGTGCAAATACTTGCAGCAGAGATGGATTGTTGGTGCAGGTGAGCACTACAACAGTTTTGGTTAAGCAATTGCAGAGCCAAACGAGCCAAGGACAGTGGATACGTTGATGTGGTGTGAGGAGTTGCATTGAGGGACTGTCCAAGTTTTCATGCCAGAAACTCTAATCACTAGAATTCATTTTGCATTACTTCTAATTTTGGCATCAATCCAAATTTAAAGCTTGGGAGTCGTTTTTTGGAAATGTGTGCTGCAAGCTCAACAGCAATATCGTTCCGGATCAGTCGTCAGAACACCAACATCACTACAGAAACTTGCTTGAATGCCAGATGTTGTGGCCATAGTGCTGACGGTCTCCGTTGGTGTTCATTGTGAATTTTGCTCAGGCGAGAGCTGGATGGCGAAGTGGTAGGCAAGCTGCGGTTGAATCAAGAGATTTGTCAAGTTACCTGACATTTTATTGTCGAATTGAAGCCTCATATCTGTAACGCCGTCAGGCATAGTGCGAGGTCCTCATTCTTGTATGATAAAAACTGTGTTCAAAACATGTGCAGGATGTGAATATCATTGAGATCAGTTCAATTCAGTACCGAACGTAATTCATTCAGATTCTGGCGGTGAATTAGTTGTATGAGGTGACCCAATTCGACAGGACCTCCACATGAGGCGAGTGACCATTCAACGTCTCATTCCAACCATCTTCAGTCAAATGCGATAGATTCTGAATCCGCCACAGCGCTGCCGAAAATAGTATTTGTCACAACAACCTTAAGTGTCATTTCCTGTGTCTGCCACATATTCAAATGTGATGATCAAGGTGACAGTGATGGGCATTGGCCCAATTCCTTTTAAGTATCTGCACATTAAATTCGATTGTTAGCGGGTTGATTGCGTGGCTGAAGTGGATCTCACACTAATCATGGGCTCAACCACACTAGTAGTCCGCTAGACCACGCTATGTGAGGATCATTGTGGACGAAAAATGGAAGGATACAAGAGATTCGCTTTAATGAGAGATCCTGGATAAAATCTGCATGCTGCCAGGTTGTGTCTGGAGCAGATGAGCAATATACTAGTGTTTGAAATAGACTGCTTGAGCCCAGCAGACCTCACACTGGCATAAGTTTACAGTCATCCAGGTATAACTTTGCATCGAAGTGAGTTCGTATTTAACCCGTCTTAATGTCAACATATCCACATGTGAATGACCATATGCAGAACGTGTCAAGGACACATAGTACTAAATTGCATTGAACTAGACCTGTTTTATTTGTTTAAAATTTGGTAAATAGAAACATTCAATGATGAATCAACAATGCAATTACAAGAACTCAGGATAAAAGATCGTCCAAGTGCGTACACTAAACAATACACTCGATCGAATGATGATTGATTGTTGATGGCTGTTTGATGAAAGGATTTTCATTTTCACCAACTGGTTGATGATTGTAGATAGATAAATCAAATATGTTCGCAAGTTTGTGCATCCTGGTAAACAAACCACTGTTAAAAAGAATAAAAAAAGCTTAAAACATTGGAAGTAATAAGTACCAATCCGAAGTTGGACTTGACATGAGGTCAGCGCATAGAGTGATGAAAAAACTTGCCTCAGTTCAGTTCAAATTAGTGATGGATTTCCGTCTGCTCAACTTACACCACAACCCATCTTTTGTGTGGATGGTGGCACCAGTCACCAATTCCACATCTTCGGGACTCCCACGAAGCTCAACTTCGAACTTCTGAAGCAGCATCGCAAGTGCCACCGTAGATTCCATCAAGGCAAACTGGTCGCCCACACATTTTCGAGCGCCTCCGCCAAATGGCAAAAATGCGAAATCAGCCATCACCTGTCACATGCAAGTGCATCCAGACCGACATTAAGAATTCAGTACATGCATAGCACAACTCATTAATACCTTCATCATAAACATGTATAGTAATAGCAGAAGTGCAACAATCAATTAAATAAGCTTCCCAAACCTCATTTGGATATAGCGCTCCCTGACCACGTTTTGGATCAAAACCTGCCCACCCTTCAATGCCATCACTGAGTTTCGCTTTCAAAAACCTCTCTGGATTGAACTTCTCTGGTTCGTCCCAGAAGTAGGGAGACCTATGAAGATTATAGACCTGCGGACCACGCCACAATCACGATCACAAAAAATAGCGTAGAACTGATCAATAAACAAGGAATATACGTAGTGAAAGTAAACAAGCTAACCCAATGTTATCACAACTTGCCTAACAGCTAGATATTCGTAAATGTTACCGAAACTTACAGATATGAAAAGATCGACTCCCTTCGGAATGGAATATCCATTTGGATCACCCTTGTGGCCACCTGCAGGATAAATTTGTGATGAATGAATCAGAATACCACCAAAGCAGTACGCCACCGGTACCTAAATCCAATTTCTGGCTTAAAAAACAAACCTGGAAGAGTGTCGGGTTGAAGTGAGCGACGAATGAGCAAGGGCGGCTGAGGAAACAAGCGCAATGATTCAGCCACAATCAGCTTTATATACCTGAATAAAGTTATGTACATGAGAATAGGTAAAGTAAGTAAGTTGAATATATTCAACGGTAAGAATTATAACTTCATGTCACTGAATTCTATGCTACTTTCCTCTTGACTTATACAGTCGTATTCAGTGGTATCTAATTATTCTGCAAATATGTTTCTCGTAATCAGTTTCATCACACCACAAAAATGTGAAATGCCACTATCCTCCGCTTGTTGGCATTTAAAGACATAAGTGCACTGTAAACACATAATCAATTACGTTTAGTAAAGCATCAGATACATAAGAGAACTGACGTTAGGTTCTGGATATCCTTCAAGGTTGGCCTTCGTCCCTGAAGTACCCTGTCAATCTCAGCTTGTGCCTTGGCAACCATATCAGGATTCTGGAAACCAAATAAGCAATTTGTCAGAGGGTTCCAGTCATTACAATATGCAGGCAAGTTCCATTCACATAACATTAAAGTGGTGGTTTTCCGGAGACAAGCGCGAGAATAGGCGACAAAACGGAAGTGAAAACAAAATATCCAGCAATATTCCCTATTTATCGCGAACATAACAACTTCATACGACTGATCCAGATATTATGGGAAAAAATTAACAGAAAAATAAACGAAGCCTCACCTGAGCAAGATGAAAGGTTGCCCATGTAAGAACAGCTGCTGTGGTCTCGTGACCAGCAATGAGCATGGTCATCAAGTCGTCCCTCAACTGTGCCATCACCCACCAAGCACAGATACATGTAAAACTGTAGCTGACCACATTGATTCCACGCGTTTGCTCCAACACGCCCGCAAGAGTAGTGCTACAAATCGACAACAATACAATTTGAGGTAGTCAAATAACTAACCTGCTTGTTAGTAGCATCTTCTCCTCTCATATCAACGAGAAATCTCAGCAGACTGGAGTCCTGTCACATACAAGAACCCAAGATGGTCAATATGGGGACCAACTTAATGAACTTTTCCCGTGATCAACTTACATAAACAAAACTCAGAATTTTAAAACATCACAAGCAATAGTTCTGTACCACGTCAATGAGTTCGTTCTTTCAAAAAAGGATTTGCTGCTCGAGTTAAGGTTTAGACGCTTAGGTTTCGAGGATCCGACAATCAATCATACACAACAAGATCACCTTAATACAAGCGACTGGTGACAACAAAATTGACTCAAAGAAATTAAACACAACTTGATCGTGTATATTGTCTTATAAACTTTGGTTTAGCAAGGACTCTGAGAACCCAACTACATGAATACATTACATAATGTTAATCAAATACCTGGGCTGCTGAAAGATCCCTTTGTTGCAATGATTCAACGTCTTCTTCCTGCATCAGAAATAACAATGTCTTATCATTTAGAAGCAGATCCAATGCAAAAGCTTACAAACAACGACACTTCAATCTGGTACATAAGAGCTGCCGCTAGGTGGAATAAGTATTTGTGCTCAACATCCGAAAGATACACTAGTAAGTCACATCCAACAGTTTCTGCAAATCAAGGTTGTTACCTTTCTAGCGTTAATTAGACAATGACTTATCTCAACCTTCTGGAACTCTAATTCTGCGTGAATGCAAAGAGAGTAACAAAAACGCTGAGGTTTGTAATAGATAAGAAGTGATCAACACAGGGTATCAACAACCATTCCTACCTGTCGAGTTGATTGCGCCCTCTTAATAAGGTCATCGAGACAGTCGTTAATAACCTTCAAATCTTCGTTGAACTTTCGTTGTCTGGGAACCAGCCACCTCGATAACGGAAATTTCCAATAAGGAATATAGAATGTTGACCGATGCTCGGCCTCAGAAAGCGTGCCGTACACTGCCTGCAAAACAAGCAATCACAATTGTATCCTATCAAATTACAACGTCAAATGAAACAGAAAATTCGCAATTTACAACAGTCTTCACAGCTGACAATGTAATTCATCACACCATAATAATATCAAGCTATTGCCACTTTTGGAAAGACAACACCTTCAGTGAATGACTTGATCTAATGACTGTTTCAACATCAATCCAAATTCCAAACGTATTTTGCGTACATGGATGTGTCATACAAGAGTTAAGGAATCTATTCATACACACCCCAAAAAAGCCCCTTGTGTTACTCTTCCGTCCAAGAAGACATACAAATGCTAACCATGAACTAGGCAGCTATCTAATCGAAAATGGCCATCAGAAGTTCTCTCACTACTTGAAGATGTGAGACGCTTACAGCAATCACGGGTGACTCCCTCGTCACGGATCCAAAATCATAGTTGAAAACGCTCAGCCCAATGATGTCAAGTGCAAGATTAGAATACTCAGATTCCATCTCGATTTCAATCTGCGATTTGCATTCCTTTTGAACAGCGTCTAACAGCCCTTCAATTTTTTCTACTGTCCTCTCGGCACAATTATCAAAGACTTCAACCATAGCTTCCAAGTAGGCCGCATGGAATCCAGGCACAATTGCTGCATTCCATGAAAGTAATTTAAGTCACCGTTGAGTATTATAAACCAGGAATGCATATAATTGAAATAACACAAGGAATGAATCACGATACAGTGTGTTGCGGGGAGCGCACAACAAGCTCTCTTAAATCAGAAAAGAGAAGTAAAAATATTAGTATAATCAACATCTGATTGAAAATAACAGCTACGCTAACTATTCTAAGGGTTGATTCGTTACAGGACTGGTACAGACGGCAGACCTCGCCTTCGCACTTTCCATGTCTCAAGATCAGCAGGGATAAGTCCCTTTCCCATGATTGGCTCCAAAATGTCTGCTAGAACACCCTGATTCCGTCCAGCAAACGGAAACCCCAAACAATTCAGCCAAGCTTGAAATCCAAAAGTTGCCGTCAAGCCACAACAACAAAGCCTAGAAAGTGGATGTACATCGCAAACTAAAGTTCAAAACCTACAGTTCAGAGCGAAAAATTCATTACACGCTATACTCGGTTCGAGGAAATCGTGGAAGGAACCATGTAATCCAAGACAAACCTTGTCATAACTAAATGTGTTCTCACGGAGGATGTGACGAGCGACAATGGGATCTGAGACGACCACAAATGCTTTTGGTCCAAAAGCGAGCTTGTAAACTGGACCATGCTGCATTAACCACAACATAGCACATCAGATCCAGAGTCGCGGTTCCCTACATAACCTCTGGACTAATCTATTTAGCTCAGAAATGTAAGAAGAACCAAGAATTTGGTCATAAATTAGTAGAACCTCTGATAGAAGTAAGCAATGCATGGGATTAGTCTCAACGATAGGTTGGAATCTCATCCGAACGTACTTGCATAAACCAATCGTAAAGAGCAAAGAAGAGTGGTCGTCCGAAGAGATCAGACACAGCACCCTCAGCTATGGGCATGGTTCCCATGTTTCCCCCGCTCAACAGATTTGTCAGCAAATTGCTCGCATTGTCCAGCAGGGTCCTTTCATTTTCCGGCTTGCGATCTGTCTTCAAACTTCGAGACCAATACAACTAATGCTAAGAGCAAGGAAAATCATGCCTCCCTCGGAGAGAAATTTCTTCATTCGTTCTCTTTCTTTCTTATGTATTTATTTGATTCAAGTTCAAAAGAACTAAGACTGTCCTTTATCATGCGACTTCGCTGTCATACAATACTATAGGATTAGGGTATTCGAATTCACGCAGAGAGAAGCACAAATAAAACAGGCGACGACTTTCGGCAGTTTCTCCAACAATTCCAACATTGAAATCCGCATTTTGCAACATGAGTTCCGTGAAAATCAGATATTATTTTTCCGAGCGTTGGTGCAAAACTGCTAAACTTCAGAGTGCCACATCTATCATTCAAGTACCGCACGGGTTCAAGCCCTTACCACTGGATTCCCCTGGAGCGTGTCTTGCTGGGAAGATGTCTCAGCAAGAATGAGTGCCCTAGTATGGTTGACTTGGAACTCGAAAGCCGACGGCTCCCAGAGTTCTGGTTCATCAACGAAGCGGGCCCAGCATTTGGCAGAGCTGAAGCCATAGCCATCTCCGACGAAGAATATCGAAATCCTTGCGCTCTTTTCGATCGCAAACTCACTTACCAAGCCGCGCAATTGTCCATGCACATGAAATTCAAGGACTAAATTCCGCGATACATAATACACTCCCTCGCTAGACCTGTGAGGAGCTCAACATTCTCGTAAGTTCTAAACACTACAACACGGTCAACCTCCCAGAACCCTCAATTCTTGGCTCATTTCCTACTCAAAATCTCCACATTTACTACAAAAAAACACAGATTGGCCCAATGAAATCACTTGTGCAAGTAGCGCTGGTGCCGTTGCAAACTACAAAACCTTCAGGTTGTATATGAAACATCTGACAACGATGCTCAGAGAAACCATCTTTCAACTTTTAGATTTACAAAGACTTCGTAGATGTTTCAAGGAATATATCTCATTTCTTCGGGCAATGTTGAATATGATACTGGTCTAATCTTTGACCTGTGAGCTGCTGCAATGTGGATAGGGTACAGCGAATAGTAATGGATCACCCACTTGGATAGTCACTTCGGATAAACCCTTCCCGTGACTTCATAGCGTGTGCTTTTCGGACTTTGGCATTTGGACAACTGGACAGCGTTGAGCCTTCCCAGTCGGCGAAGGCATCCATGATTAAGTCTGAAGCCTCCTAAATCTGATGCTTCAAAGAGTATCACTTTTGATGTTGTGGACGCAATCACAACTATTCGCTTCAACAATGAGAACACCCACAGTTGGAGGTTTGGAATTGTGTCTAATTAAAAAAAATTCTTCACACGCTAGAATATAACATAGAAAAGCAAAAGCCAATTCATCACTTCGAAAGTGCACTGAGATAAACCTATCAAGAACTTTACTGTGCACACACAATTACACCATGTCTTGGGTACATCATTGACGATTTAGCCGCTGATTGCAATCATGTAGCATGTGAAAGAATATACAAAGAATAGTGCTCTTGATCGAGCAGTCACTGTGGAGGGACTGCGAGATAGGAATTTCACTGAGTTTGAACCAGCTTCACTGTCTAACCAGAAAAACGCTCAGACAGAATTTTGATAAGAGACTATTCAGCTACTTTCAGGAATGGCACAACCTCGCCCGCCAACTACAACAGCCCCTTCATGCACAGACATCATAGGGTGAAGACATAGAACTGTATAGACTAGGCCCGTGAATGACTTAAATAGCCTTCACACCCCAATTGCACGGATAACATGCACACGATTCTTGGATCGTCTTCAGTCTCTAGATTAAGCTGCGGCAGCAATATCTTTTTCCTTCAGCTTCTTCAAGAATTGAGGTAGGTTCACATTGGACAGTGCTTTCTCTGTTTTCTTGATCAATATGCAGGTTTCCATTTCTGACCCAGTGGCAGCAACTGGCACTTGCAGTGTGATCGATTTAAGCCCATGAAACTGCAAAAGAGAACCGCAATGCGAGCGCGTTAGAACAAGAAAGCTACCGACCTTCGTCATTGATTGAAGTTCAAAATTCAATAGTTATACACCCCGGTAGTGAAAGTTATAATACAAAAAATAATTTAATGAATATTCAAACAGATATGCATCTGTACGTCATGCATTGTAAAATGTGAACATTACCTGACTTGAACCATGTACAAGTAGTCTGTCATAAGTAGACACAGCAGACACAACAAGATCTTGATCATCTCCTTCAATAAAAGGAACCAGCTTCTCCTGCAAGAAGGCATTCAATGCATCACTTTCAGTACTAATCCTAAAGGAGGCTAGAGGCATTTCGAGCACAAAAAAATAAATACGTGTAGCTATGCTTTTCTAAATTTTAACTTTAAGACCTAAATTAATCAAAGTGGAAAATAATGGACACGGCAAAAAATATAGTGTTAAATTTCCAGGCAAAATGATCAAGAATACAGGTTACTAACCTCGAGGTCCATCAAGAAGGCAGATGCATAATTACGACGAAGAGCAGCACGCATGTTGCGTTCCACACCACTCCAAGCTTTCATGGCTGGACTTTGCCTTCTCTCCATTCCCAGCTCACCTACTGCTTTCCTAGGCACACCTTGGTGCAGAACCTTAGCCTGATTCGGCAAAAACAGCAAAAATCAGAACAGCAATATTAAGAGAAAAAACTTCCAAAAATCAACAAGTTGTGTGAAAACTATCGTCTATCAAACAATGCAACTCAATTCCCGGTAGCTCCCACTTGACGCGCATTCCCTACTCCGTACGGAAAATGATTCAAATAAGAACATTGAATTTTCCCCAGTTTCGCAACGTCTTATACAAAGATGAATAAACCAAACATACCTGTAAGTCCATGTCTACATTGTTTCTAAAAGGTTCCCAAATCGCCATGTCACGCGAAGAGACCATTACAGTTTCCAATGGTGATTGGACACTCTTGTCACCTGAATATCACGTGCTTACGACATCAGAATTTGGATTGAAGAAAGAGATTAAGAGATTCCTGGACGTTCAGAAGCATAACTTGTCTACTGAGATCTGCACTCGAGAGAAAAATCCCCCACACAATTAAGCTCCCTGTTGAAAAAGACGCTATATGCTTTCAGAGTGCTAAATTCACTCCAAACAAACCTGCTACGCGTTATTACTACTATCACATCAATGTGTGCGTTAAAAATAATAAAGCGCAATTTGAATCCGATAAACAATAACAGTAAATGTGAACTCCTTACCCCAAGGGGGTGGAGCGAAGAGATTTCCAATTTCAGAAGCTGTCAACGTAGGAGCAAGTTCTCGCAGCATATTGTCATTAGCCCATCGACGATACCGCCGCCTCCCTAACTGCATAGAGAGAACCCGAAGTTACAAAACATGAAGGTGGATGTAAGAAGAACCCCACGTTAACAAATAAAAGAATTCGAATTTCTACACGCAACAGCAATATAAAAATAAAAATTAAAAATTAAAAATTAAAAATGCAAATAACCTTAGTATCTCGCATCTCCCGCATCTCTTGATCAGTGTACCTCTTGCCATCGTTTTGACCTCCTGCGAAAGAGGCCATCCATTAGCGAACTAAGCCACAATAACTTGTTTCATGTAACAAAGTGTACCAAAATCCTAAACCTCAATGAGATGTGCCATAAATTCGAAAATACAAATCGCATTCCAACGCTTTAACAAAACTTAAAGTTCCTCACAACCACGCTCCAAAACAATAATCCAATGGAAACCATCCACTGAATACAACGTACAGATCACATAAGAACCGGCATATTCCATGCATGCACAAATACATGTGACTTATGTAACTAATACTCGTATGAAGCACCTACATGGGCGGTTTAGGGGAAGCACCAGAGTCAGATCGCTGGCGGTGAGCGCGACTCTTTTTATGGCTCACAACCTCGGATGCCTCGAGCCTGCCTCGTGCTGTTCACAATCACCACCATATAATTGCTCAAGAGTTCTTCTATAAAACGAATAAGAAATCCGAAGTAATTTTGAGCCCGCCCGTAATAATTAAGTCTAAAACAGTAGACTGTCCGCAAAAAAAATTGAATGTATTAACCAACATTAACACTACTGTACGAAGAAACCCATGGCAACAGCCATCAACACCATACAAATTCATCTTTCAACCAGCTAGCTGCATCATGGTGCAAGTCCAATCTTAGTAACCAGAATCACTCAGAAGCATAAAACATGCATACGGTAGGCGATGAATATTATGAAAATGCCATTATTCTGCTTACGAGAGATGGAACAAAAAGACAGCAGCCAAATGTAGGAATTTAATAAGAAATAGAACCTACCTAAGGCAACACCCGATAACCAATCCCCCGGCTGGTACGCCATGATGAGAGTGTCACCTCCTCTGCCCTCGGCAACAAACGCAACAACCGCTCGCTCTCCAATTCGAGATCACGCGATCTTCAGCCAGCAAAACCGACGATACTCTAGTCAGACATAATGGCAACGGGCTAGAAAATCCCACCTCACGTCCTCCAACCTCAAATTTGAAGCGCAATAGCGATTAACCCACTTAACAACAAACGAAAGAAACGACAAGGAGCAGAACGGCACCGGAATTGGTGAAGCAGTTTCTTCGCTGCAGCAAAGCTGCGGTGCGCGACAAACCCTACAGCGTCCCCAACAAGCAATCCCGACGAAGCAAAAACAGTAGTGGCGAACAACGAAAGAAAAAATGTCGCGGCAGCGGGAGAGGCACGTGAGCGAAGACACGGCGAAAGCCTGCACTGAGCTAAAAAAAAATTAGTAGGAGAGCCACGAGCATCGACAGCAGCATTGAAAAGGAATGTGCAGAGATGCCGCCTTGCCGCCGCTGCGGCTTCCTGCGTCTGCGGCAGCGTTTTCTGACGTTCCGGCTGCCGCTCTTCGCCTTCGCTGTCCACGTCAGCTCTGTGTAGTTCAGGACCTTGAGCGGCCACGTCGGAATCACTTTCATCGCTTGTCTCGTCGTCTTTTCCATCCAAATTCCAACTTCCTCATCTATCGTTAACTTTCCCATTTTTCATGGCTCGTTGGTTATGGCAAAATGACATGTGAAAAGTGTTCAGAATGTTTGGAGAGACACAAGAGTAGTTAGAAGTAATGTGCATTCGCACACAAGAGTAGTTAGAAGTAATGTGCATTCGCACACAAGAGTGTATAGAAGGAGAGGGAGCTTCTTCTTATATGTGTATTGATGTGATTGTCTCTTGTATACAAAGAGGAAAGAAGATAAATAATTTTTCTCCACTATATTCTAAACAATGTAGTTATGGTATTTATTGTAAACTACAATAAATAATATAGAGAGTGCCAATTATATTTAATGCTCTCAAAAATTCTCATCACTTGTCATAATATTTATATAACATAAAATTTGCATAAGATTATGTTCTATACTTTTCTATAATCTTATAAGCTCAACAATTGTTGCCTCATTAAAACCTTATTTTTTAAAAAAAATATTTTATTCAAGAATAAAAGCATAGATAAAGAAAAAAGAGTAAAACACCATTTTTCTTAATTATTTAAAGAATTTATTAACTTTCTTACTTAAGAAAAGTAAGTCATTGCATGCTAATACTACAAGTAAGTCAACAATGGTTGTACAAAAAGAGAGCTTTGGAAAAGAGATTAGTAAGGTTATTTGAATATTCAATATTTTTGATCTTAAGTGATTAATCAATAACCAAGTCATAGGTAGAATTAAAATATTTTGGATTAATATGCGTTGTCTAGTTGCTTTTAATGAAACTAACTTGCATCTATGCAACACAAGTGCTATTATCTTTCTACAAGATCGTTGGAGAATCATCATATAAAATTCTACAAGTTGTTTGAATGAATTTATCAATTGATTGCAACCAAATACATTCTTGACATGCTTTATATAAAGCAATAATTTTTGCATAGTTGGATGAAGTTGCAATTATAATCTATTTCATTGATTTTCATAATATTATGGCTTTAAGTCTTAAAAATATATAACTTGTGTGAGATTTAGCCATTGCAATATCAGATTTATATCCTATATCATAATATCCAATACATTTTGAATTTACAAATCATGTGTAGTATATATCCAAGTCTTTAATACTTCTGAAATAACATAATAAATATTTGATGCAACTTTAATGTCATAGTGTTGAATGTACATTGTGTCTTGCAAGAACATTAATTGTAAATAGAATATTTGGTCTTATAGATGTGGCCAAATATAAAGGTGCTCCAACTACTGTAAAATATGGATACTAATCTTCTAATATTTCTTCTTTTTTCTTATATAGATAGTATAGATCATTACCATCATAATCAGATTATTGTATTATGTGGCATTTGGCTTGAGCATGCACCAGACACTTGGTTATGGAAGATAAAAGAAAAATTGCAACAACAAGTTCTAACAATTTTAATTGATTTATAAATAAATTATAATTAAAGATTAACAAATATAATCAAACATCAATCAAATTCAATTAAAATTTCAAAAGAATTATACAAGAAATACAAAGAATTTTTAGAGATCCTTTAAAGAAATCTTAAAGGAATAACATAGAAATTCAAACCTTAGTCAAATCTTAGTCAAATCCTTGTCAAATCCTACTCAACCATTAAATAAGCCCTAAACAAATCTTAGAAAAATCTTAGTCAAATCCTAGTCAAATCCTAATCATATCTTAAATAAACCTTAATCAAATCCTAATCAAATATTAAATAAATCCTAGTCAAATCTTAAATAAATCCTAGTCAAATCCTAAACAAATCCTAAATAAGTCCTAATAAAATCCTAATCAAATCTCAATCAAATCCTAATCAAATCCTAAATAAATCCTAATCAAATCCTAAATAAATCCTAATCAAATCCTAATAAATCCTAGTCAAAACCTAGAATAATCCTAAATAAGCCCTAATCAAATCCTAAACAAATTTTAGTCAAATCCTAAACAAATCCTAAACAAATCCTAACCAAATCCTAATCTAAATCAAATCTTAAATCAAATCCAAAATCCTAATCATAATCCTAACCGAATCCTAATCCTAACCAAACCTCAAATCAATACAAAATCCTAATCCTAATCTTAAACTGAATCCTAATCAATTTAGAATAATTCCTATAGTAGATTTAAACTTCAATAATAAATAAATGAACTGTTGATTTTAACTCAAATTTTTCACACTTCTTAACAATTAAGTTGACAACAAGTAAAAAAAGAATTGAAAAGGATCAAAATTACCAAATAGACGATTAGCTCAAAAATGTGCTTAGATATCAGTTGGCCTCTTTCTCCAAGCTTGATTTTAATCTCCCAGAGCCAATTACTCATGTTTAAACTGTTACTTTGCTTCTAAACTTTACATACTTATTAAAAATCAAGCTGATTACCTCTATGAAAAGAAATTGGTCTCAATCTATTTGGTAGATTAACAAAAATTTAAAAAAACTTCATTAGATTTAAAAATCCTAAATTCCAAGATCATAATCGACAAAAACCTTCATTCCTTTTGATCTAATTGTTTGATCAAATCCAAATTTATAGCACACATCAAGTACAACTACACCTATAAATTCCAAAAAAATTACTTATAGATCTATTGACAAACTTATAAAATTCTCCAAAAAATATCATCTATTTTATTGCACAAATTGAGAGTCACCTAAAATAAATCTTCACTTTACAAAGCTCTTACAAAGTCAATACACACTTGAATCACTCTAAATTAATGCTCAAAAAAACTTCATTAAGTCAACTCTAAGATTGTACTCTCCGATCTCCAAAAGAACCCCTAAATTGTCGTCAAGGCTTGGTTTTGTGCCTTGGGATCTGATTTCAATCTTGATTGATAACTGGTCCTCTATGGGTATCAATTCTTGAGTTTTTAAAGTAATTTTTGCCACAAATTACTCTTAATTTCTTTCTAAAGGTACTTATATTGTTTAATTTTCTAATCTACCTTATTTTGCTCTATTTGAGGTCCTATAAAGTAAGAAGAAGCCAATTTTAAAAAGACAACATCAACACCTTTAATTTTTCTATCCCTTGACTATTATCTATTTTTTTAAGATAATTTGTTAAAATATATTCAAAATAAGATCTTTAAAAATATGATATTTTCTTCACCCTTTCACCTATTAGCCATTTTATATCACAACATCTACCTCCCTTGAACCTATACATCCTCCGACATGGATCAAGTTTTTTATATCATTTTTATGTAGAATGGCTTTCATCTTGGTCAAATTCTTGATCTTCAACTTCTTTATCTTCTTCCATCTCAATATCCCTTAATAGATTTTTTTTTATTATTAAAAAAAATAACTTCACCTCTTTGTTTAAAGAATTTAATTTACTTACCTTCTATAGGTATCTTCAATTCTATACCATCAAATTCTTGTAACAAATACGTTCCATTTGTCGTACACTTGTTTCACAACATAAGGTCCAAATCATCTCTTTGCAAATTTCTTAGCCATACTATATTGATTGTCTAAGCTACTATCATAAACTAACACTTAATCACCATCTTCAATTGTCTTAGGTCGTAATTGATGTTTTTTTTAATCAAATCTTTCTTTATTCTTTTTCCTTACTTCTTTCAATTTCATTATTGTTGCTTCAATGTCATTAGGTCTTTTTTCTAATTGTTGAATCCATAATACTAAAAGTTCTTCTGTATTGAGACCACCCTTTTAAGGCCATACATCCTATATAGGCAATACTTCTTCTATTGGCATTATTGGTTTTTGTCCATACATTAATTCAAAAGGCATGTAATATATTACTGAACTATGAGTTGTATAATCTACTTATAGTGCAAATGGTAATAGTCTATGCCATTCATGTGTTTTTCCATTGCATGCCTTTACTAATGCCTTAACAATACGTGAATGTCCACTCTCACTCTTTCTATTATCTTTTAGATTATATGCCGTTATTAATGAAAGTTTAAATCCTATTCTACTAAAGAATTCTTGTACTTCTCTTGCATCCAATTCACTCCTATCTACTATAATTTTTTAATACAATCGTAGCAATAAATAACATCTTCTAATAAAAATTGGCATACACCTTTACTACCCTTTGTTCTTAATTCTTGTCTTTCAACCATATTTAAAAAATCTTTTTGTGCAAGTACCAAATACTTCATTTGCCGAAGTTCCATTGGCATTGCTATAAAATCTACCACCTATTTATAATGTAAAGCTAAAAGATATATTGGGTATAATCCATCTCAATGCCAAATATTTGAATATGCTTGATAAATTTTACAAGATCCTACAAAATTTGTTATATCTTTATATATTTTTCTTTCAACTTAGTAAATGTTGTCCAAATATCCCGATGCCCAACCCATCAACTTTCAGAGAATTCTTTAATGATCTTTTGTTAAGTCTCAATACCATTTACAGCTTGAGGTATTCCATCCCTTTTCTTTAGATGCTTCCATAAAAATCCATTTTAAAGAAAATATTCATATCTTTACTTTCAAATTTTCTTATATTTTTTCTCCGTCCAACCTTCTTGCCATATAAATATACTTAAGTATTTTCTTATATACAACCATTCACTATCATATAGTTCTTTTAAGGATAATTTAAATGGTGTAACCAAACACTACTCATTCCTTATTGAAAACAAAGTTGAATAAAAATCGATGCTGATATTTTTCTCATTATCAATCATATCATCTTTATCATTATATTGTACTTGTAATAGCATGTCTGCAACCACATTATCTTTT